TTCACTGAATATTTAATTAATAATGCAACATTCATAATAAAAATTTGGAAAAAGCTGACTCAAAATTATTAGCAGAATATTTCGAAATTTAAATACTTGAGCATGTTTGGAGAAATTACGCCACTTCCATATTGGCGTGTGTTAGAAACAAATATTTTTGCTTCCCTTGCAAGAAATTATAAATGCCATGTAAATGACAAGAAATCCTAAAATGAACATAATTATTACGATTAAACAATGAATCAAAAACAAATTCTTACCATTAGTCTAAAAAGACAATAACTTAATTCCTAATTGCTCTCAAAAAATAACAGCTCTGCTGTACAGATAGTTAAACCTATCTTAGCAAACAATGTAATGAGTAATTCTAAACAAATTCGAAATATATAGAAGAAGTAAAGATAAAAGTATGTATTATCGTGCTGGAATGTTCCCCACGTTGATACTAAATACCACATTGGGTATCAACTGATAACGCCTACAGGCTAGGATCGATGTACTGCACGGTACACCGCTTACTTCTCCAAATGGCTCGATTTTCGTACCGATTAATCCAAGGCTTTATTCGTACATAAAACACAAGCAATGGAAAACAACATGCCAGTTTATACAATACGCTTGTTGGTGACCATTAATTAATGGAATGTTTCCAAATTATGGTGAAATTCAGTTGTCAATGCTGGTGCATTTAATTTACCACCGCGCACTTTGCGCTTAACTCCGTAGTATTGATTTTATGATTTCTCAATCAGTATTGTAATGTAATACAAATGATCGCAGTGACAATGGTAAAAGGATGAATTTACCGCCGATTAAATTTTGTACTCTTTCAATTTTACCACCGACTCAATCCGATACTTTACTAAGTAGAGGCGTCTTTTAACCAACTCCACTTATCAAGCCATGAAGTCCTTCTCCCTTTGCGCACTGCACTCGCCTCGGTTTACGCTGCATCTTATATCACCTTTCAAAATTAGTAATTGTGCATACTTTGACCTAACATAATATCACATGATAAATTAACACGTTAACGATACAATATGAATTTTCTATATACTCGTATACACAAATTTTACCACACACCAGGAGTAGACAGTAATTACTTTAAATTAAATAATAATTATTTAGGCGTTTGATTGCATGTAAAGGTACCTGCAGTCATGGCTCCAAGATTCTCAATAAAATTTATTGTCACAGAACTTGAATTTGTTTTCACAATAATACTGTACACCTTGTATATGTAATATCATCAACAAAATTATTTGGTATCCCTGGATGGGTTTATTGTAGTGTGGTCACCGTCAGCTGTAGGGTGTCAGGTACATCCACGATAGCGAAACAAAACCAATTAATCGCAAACTCGCCTCAGAGGCCCCACTAAAGCTCGCGGTCTTTGACTCTATTCGTCTGTAACGAGCGTAACGGTTTATTTTCTCCTTTACAAGCATTATTATTGTTCACGGTATATTTACTTGTTAAAAGATTCTTGTGACTTTTGAATAGCTGGCTCAATCTATTGTTGGAATTTTAACCACGCCATTTTACCGTGCCGGCGCCGTGATTTTTGTTGTTGATTGTCGACCTTCATCTTCCTTCTTTTCTGTCGAGAACCGTCTCAGGTTACACTTCATTAAAACCAACAGCTGAGGCGTAAGTTAGAACGCATGGAATTTTAGTTGCCATCATCCATATTTAATTGATTTCTGACAATTGGATTCAGTAAATTTGGGATTCTGGAATAATTAGTGAACGGATTCACCATTGGCTCCGTAGAGAGGATATAATTTGTGTTTTTTCTGTCTCATTGTAAGTACCACCATTTGCATTTTCCATAATTGAAGTGTACACTGTACATTTCTTTAGGTTCGGCTGTCATCACCACAATTTTTCATCGACAATTGTTGCTTCATGTATTTTATTTAGCCCTTTTATTTACGAGATATGTACATTTAGGGTTTTAATTTTAGTTCAAACTCAAATTTAATTCGACTGTAAGGACCAGACAAGGAGCTTCGGAGACGCTTTACATACCATTAAATTACCGGTGCCTGCGAGTGCCTTTGACATGTCTTCCACCTGCTGATAACGAGCATCTTTTTATTGTACTCACTTTTTTCGTACGTTACTATCAATTTTCTACCAAACCCTTCGCAAGTTCCCTTCAAATTGCCGTAGGCATCTCCTAATTTCCTCGTGGGTCTCTCTCCCTCTTAAGAACCCCTATTTGTCATACTAAATTCGACATACTGGAATCCTTGCTATCAAATTAGGTATATTATTCGTAAAACCGCATGGGAAACTTCTTATCATCTACTGTCAAGAATACTTGATAGTTCCACATTAATTTCCGTACTAGATCGGATAAAATAGAAGTGTAATGAACAATGATAACACAAATCACTCATCGATCGCATTGTATCCTGGTGGCAAGGATAACATGCTCGCATAATTTTCCACTCAGTTTGCTACAAAGTACATAAAAAACTATCTACAACTTGCAGGTAATAAAATTTAATTTACGTACTTCACCAAGCAATGTTCATATAACTGCTCCAGCTTTACCACCTGAATGTTAATGTTACAAGTACGCGTACATGTAACTTCAAAAGGGGTTTTGTACTTAAAAGGTCATTGTTATAAAGGCACCATAAAGCACACCAACGTAATTACGCCTCAACGTTTTGCTTGTAATATTCTCATATAATCTAATCGGCGAAGTGCGAAAATTTCGGTTATCAAGGTGTAAACTCGTTCAGAAAGGAACGGCCTTATACCTAACAGGAGGCAACAATAAAAGGGAGGAAAAAACTACAAAGTGGCGGGAGAATTGTTATAGGGCATCATAAATAAAATGGCTGGCTTTATGCTAAGAACATTGACCCTCCCTTCTTGGCTTGTTTTCTACTTCATGTAATACCCTATTCAGCATTAATCTTTAACCTTATTTCTTACGTACGATGTTCGTGTTCGAGGAACATTTGAAATTTTTAAATAACAAAAACGCGCCCTCCTCGGTAGAAAAAAATTAGTAGATCAAAAACGGTTTCGCGTTGATCTCGAGCTCAAAGAAAAGAGAAAAGGACTAATACTTGTTAATTTATCAGGCTCGTTATTAATGTAAATTTTTACCGCAAATTGGGCTGATTCATGGGACGCTCATCTCGGCGCAATTTACACGTAATGGTAAAGCCGAGTAATTTATAGGGAGTCAAAAACATCTTGGAATTTTCGTAATTTTAAAACCCGCATTAGAATTTACATAATTTTTGTAACTTGCCACGCGTGGCGTTTTTATAATGAAAATTTGAATTTATCTATACCTATGAAATTTATCAATATCAAATAATACATTGTACGCTTCCCAAGGGGAAAATTTAAGGTTTTCCTTTTTCCTTCGGTTATTAAGAGTCGCGCAGTTACGGCGTCATCTCTGATTATGTTGCCTTCAGATACCATCTCTTCCTTTCTCTGGCTGACTGTAAGAAGCTGAGCTGACCCTTCCTAATAAATTTTGTTACGACCAAACTGCGTCTGAATACTTGCAGCTTAGAATTGTGCCATTCCAGTATGTGATTTCTCTCCGAAATTGTAGTTTATAGTGACAATAACGCTTTGCTTTTTGCGATATTCTACTACTGCGCGATAACGATCTTGACGTCAGACCTTTTTTATTTTATACGTGGCACATATATTGCTTTGCCCCACGTTGAGCGCCAAATAATTAACTGATATGTTTCTCAGCTCAGTTATTTTATAAAATCGCCACTAATAAGAATAATTTCAGAAGTAACCATCTGATTAACACAGTCGTACATTCATTCATCTCGCACCCTCATCTCAATTATATAAATATACAGCATGCGTGACAACTATTTGTAATGTCATGTAACTAAACTGGATTTGGTACACCTGTGTAAAGTTAGCAGCCGAATTGCCGAAGACATCCGAACGTTCAGTGGCGGAGGATAATAGAAATATTTAAATAGTGGCCGCTCTGGTAGCCATGCCGGTAATTACTAAAGATTCATATTCTGTACCACACAAAAAATCGGCATTCTTTTGGCGACCGTCCGGGTAGGTGAAATCTGCCCCTAACGTACAGAAAAATTCGTTTAATCCCCACGCAAAAAAGATTTCAAATTCTCATGCTTGTCAAAACGTTAAGATTCATATTTCCTACTACACAAAAAATTAGCATTCACTGATTTTATACTTTCACTGTAACATAATATACATTCTACATAATATACGAGCTGTTTCCTTTAGCAATTTGATTCAAACTAGTTGTCAGGTAAACTCCTGACTTGACTTTCCTACTACTTTTAATAGTCATTGCCGCCATTGCAATTATTGTTTAAAACTCAGTTGTTTCGGCGCGCCGCTATACATTCAAATCATACAAGTACAATCGGGCACTCGGGCGGATTCGCGAAAACTGTTAAAAATGTAGAGAGAAGGGCTAGCGAAGACGGAACGATGTGCGGAAAGTCAAGTTAAGCATGCACGAGTTTTACGCGCATTTATCAATTTAAAAGTGAAAAAACCAAACCAATCTTTGGGGGCCCCCATCAGCCGGTACAGCAGCTCAGCAGCAGGCCATTTTAGAAAATGCTCTCTGGCGTCTTTATTATGAACCTGACACACAAAGTGCACAAGCCTTTTTTGTAGATCTCATCAAGATACATCTTTTTTGTAAACATTTTTCACCCTGATGCTCACTTTTAGAGAAAAATGCAAATCTAGAAAAATAAACTAAATAAACTAAACAAAGGAACTCTCAAAAAAATTGTAAATAAACTTTTTTTTACAGTTTTTTAAGCCATTTTGGCCAGTGTATGCGAAAAATTTTTCAAGTCGTTATGGCTCTTAAATTTTTGACACCCTCAACAACCATGAAGATGGCTACGGATCAAAACCAAAATAGAACGTTTTCGATTCCCCATACCACCCTATATGCACCCAAAATTTCGTCCAAATCGGTTCAGGGGTTTTATAGTTACCGTGTTTACAAGAAACGAATCACATACACACACTCCCACAAACGTGGCGTTGTTAAACGCACTCTCGATATCTAGGAACGCTCCCAAGGCTATCCGCCGGCAGACATTCTGGCTGATGGGCCTGTAATTCTTCGCCATGTCATATTTGGCACGACGCGGCTTAGGCAGGTACACAACTCTTTCATTTCTCCAGCTTTCGGGGAGGCTCCAAAGAGGTGCAACAAATGTAAGAGCAGCGGTTCCAGGCACTTTCGCAGAAGAGCCATGAATATCCCGTCCGGTTCAGCACTCTTAAATTGGATGGACGTGTTGACCACCCATCTCCTCGGTAACCATACGGACAGCTACTTTCCACTCGATCGGGCTTGCACCGACCCGGGTATCTCCTTTTTGTGGGGTCCGAAGTTACGTAGTCCCCGAAGCCTGGAAAGTGTGTTTGCAGAAGACACGTGGATCCTAACCCGCGGTAGATGTATATCTACCGCATGGAAGCCTCAATATCCCCAGTTCTTGCACTGGGTCTTTCAAAAGGATCGTATTCGTATGATGTTTTTGGATTTTCGGAAGACTCTCACAGAAGATCCTCCAAAATCCTCGTTTAGAGCCCAATATCAAATCGATAATCTCCTACCGAACGTGGGGGATGCTCCCTGATTAAAAAAATACAAATCAGTTGTTTGCAAGACCTACTCCAGAAGGTGATCGCCCCTCCAGTTCGTGTCAGTTGGCTGATCCTCTTACAATAAAGAGATTCCTCCACCTGTCTCAGACCTCTTACGCGTTCCCTGTAAAACCAAGGTTCTTGTAAGAGGCTTATTTAACAGGTCGCTCCCTTACTGTATTGCAAGCTGCTCTGTAAGAAGGTTACCCCGTCCATCAATTATGTACTAGGTTCCCCCCTTCTCCTAGTGATGCCGACTGTTTCGACCCCCGATCGGAGACAAAAACCGCCACACGAGACATCTTTCTCGAACTCTGAGGGCGTCGGTAGTAATCCAGGCGTCCTTTGAAGGTTGATAGCAAGATATTCAGACCCTTCCTCGCAACGGGATTAGGTCCCGTTGCTCCGGTGGAGCCCACTCCTTTAGCTGGAGCCTTCGCTTTCGTCACAAACGTGATGTGTATGACTCCCGCGTGTGCTGGAAATTCTGCCTCTGGAATTCCAGATAGGATGCCTCATCGACAACAAGTGCGGGGGCCCTACCAGGCTCCTTCCTGCGGAAAAAAAGTCTTCCATAGGCTCGTCCTGAAATCAGGATTTTGCCTCTGGACGCGCTTCATGGTACAGAATGTGAATTTTAATGCATGATAATTTGAAACTTTTTTTGCGTGGGGGTTCAACCGAAGCTTTTTGTAGGTTACGGCCAATTCTACACCCTAGGACGGTCGCCAAATCGATTGCTATATATCCTTCCAGTAATTACAACCATGGCTGCCACAGCGGCCACTTTTTAAATGTTTCTGTTATCCTCCGCCACTGGATGTTCGGGCGTATTCGGCAATTTGGCAGAGAATTGACAACGGAAAATACAGGTGCTGAAACGTACCTTAGGAATATCTTCCGACGCCTTCAACAAGTTGTTTAACAAAGACTCTCCTCCATAAAAGTTCGCTACCAAGGGCTCAGTAATTTCGAAAGGTCATCCAAAATAAGACAACTCACCATCAGGTATGTACATTCGTGAATTTCGAGATATTCTGGTTCTCACTGACAGAATTCATTTTCGGAATATTCGCGTCACTCATGGATATTTGCCACCAAGAAAACCCATGGCACGCGAGTAAATCGTTCCCTCAAAGTTTGTCTCGCGCTAAATTGGCCCCTGGAATACATTCAGCCAAGAAAACGCGCCCTCAAGAAAATGTTCACCGGATGTCATTATTCGCTCGTCAATGCGAATACGAAAACGAAACTTCCCGAAAAAAAGATGAAAAAAACTCTTCTTGAAAAATTTCTCTGGGAATATCCCCCTGCGGAATATTTATTTGTTGTTGGCGCCTTGCGTAAATTTACAACGTTCTCTCGCTCCTGATATATTTCCCTAATTTCAAACCATTATTTAAGTACAAATTTACCTGACAGAAATTTCAAATTTCCCGCATAATCCCACACGTTTTCTGCTCTAAAACCATATAATTAGATAATTAATATATTATAAGTTCTGTTTCTGGTTCTGGAAAAATAGGTAATATATTTTTCACTACTAGCGTCTGATGACATGATTATTAACCTTTTTTCCACTTGTAAAGTAGGCTTTCTCGGCAGTTGTTCAAAGTGGTTAATAATGTGGACATTATTAACTAGTAGTCAATAATGAGAATGTCACGCTGTCACTTTTAGAAAACACAACCCGAAATTTCGCTCAATAAACGTTTGGACAAGTTCTCTAAAATGAATAATTGTCACCATTCGCCATTTCCAGAGAAATTACATACCTAAAATTATCACATTTTGGAAAAATTCGAACGAAATTACTCTTTGAAAATATCTCAATGACAGAACAAAATACAGCCTGTTTGACTTGTACTTCTACGTACTTGATTGACATGTTAAATTAAGAAACAAAAAATTCTGTCCAACCGTTCACTTTCTTATCAATATAATATGTTAATTTAGAGGATTTCAAGTGCTAGTAGTGAAAAAAATAGTATATATACCACGGTAGAGAAGTCTATTATTGCCTTCGCACCGGCGCAAGCGCCTCGAGATGTAATCTTGGTGCTCAGGCAATAATACTGTACTTCTCTACCTTGATATATAATGTACTATTGATAAAACAACACCTTTAATATCTCTAGAAGAGTAGTAGTGAAATTGGTGCATAAATACGGATTTAGATCGATATTGGGCAAGAAAGTGATTGATACCAATATTAATTCTTGATAGTTATCCATCTGGACCCATAAGCTTTCTAATAGCGAAAACGAGAAGTCGATACGAGTTCATTTTCCCAAGAAAATCGGTACATAAATAACGATTTTGTGATTTTTTGTGAACAAAAATACACATGGACCACTTCTTGGGCATTGCGCAATTGAATTTCCCAAGAAAATCGATGCATACATAACGATTTTGACATCCTTTGGTTAAAAATATTTTGGTCACCAAAAATAGACATGTATCATTTTCTAGTCATCGAGCAATCGAGATTGATCTTTTTCCCTACAAAATTGGTGCATAAATAATAATTTTGACCAATTTAGAGCTATAACACGTGATGAATGCCAAAGTTAATTTTTGATAGTCGATACGAGGTCTAAGGACTGAGCTATAGTACGGAACGACACGCAGACGGGCGGAAATGTGAAGTCATAAGCGCTCCACTTTCGTGGATTGCGCTAAAAACGAATTCCTTCAGCAGAACACACCAAACAAAATTATTAATCTGTAGATTAATTTGCCCGCTCTTGGTAACTAATCTGGCTACGGCCCTGTTAGATGGCGTGCCGCGTGGGAAATTTTGAGTATTAAGTTGTATTTACATTTTTGAATTTTTCCGCAGAAATAAGTAAAGTAAAATTTTATTTTAAAACTGTAAAAAATGTCAACGTGCTGAAGTGTCTTCCCAAACATGTTTTGGTCATGATGATGAGGAATTCATCTGGTTGGTTGCGATCAACGGAATATGTGCCATTTCTACGTATTCAATTTTGTGTGGATTTTTGTTTTTTAATTACTTTTATAGTCCAGTATGCGATGCAGTCAGAAGGGCCGATTCCTGCAAAAACCGGTGTATCATTTTAAATAGTCCATTTGGGTCCAAATAACAAGCTATTTCAGTGACAAAATGCAATTGGGGGGTAGATAAGGAAAGTCAGATTTAGACTTTTTCCATGTGAGAACGAAATTTAATTTAGAACACAATCTCATGGATTAAACAATTGCAGTTCACATGTCATATTTTATCAGGAACGACTATTCGGTACGTCAAAACAATTATTGAAAGGTAAAAGTGACCGCACGTGCAGATAAGCGCATCAGGTGATTAATCTGTACCTGCTTGCGTTACCGCCCCTCCATCAAAAATATAACTTATGACCAAGTCATTCGATCGTATTAACGCGAAGTGCAGTGCATATTGTGCGGAATGGTCTCCAAAAATTCCAATGGTTCGAAGGAGAGTGCCTAGTACCGAAAGCAAGAAAACTAAGGGTGAATTTTGACAAGCACAGATTAGGTACCGCGTAAAATGCAGTAAGTAATTTGGATTTTTACATTTAAACATTGGGCATACAATGCAAAATGATTTTGGAGTTGGACAATAGGTGAATTGTGATTCAATATTGCGTATGGAAATTTACCTCAACACATATAACTGCCGTTAGATTCAAGCAATCATTTTCCAAATCAAAAATTTCTACACAACAATTACCTACAATCATCTTATCTATCCAAGTCTAAATTGGAAACACATGTTACGTCGGCGGAGTCGGCATTTTGAACAGGTGTTTAGAAGTCTGTTGATAATTTCATTCTGCCGTTATTAGCTTTAATAATAATTGTCGCAGAGTTTACTAATTTTGAATTAATTTGATACGAGTGAACCAAATACCTCCTTCGCAAAATGAAATGTCTTGAAATCGAAACAAGATTACTGTGTCACCTCATGCCTAAAAACTGTACGAAAAGGATGACTAGCAATTTCATTCTTTCTTTCTGTATTCATGTTAAATCCGGGTCCTTATTAGAGGCATTTAAATGGTGCAAAAATTCATTCAATATATCCACGTATTCACAAAATTCTTTAAAGTTGAAGAATCGAAAAGTGAATTTCCATTTTTCGCATATTCAGAGCAGATAATTTGGTCTTGAACTTGTATTACCTCTTGCATGAGTGTTTAATGATATTTGTCTCAGCAACCATGACAAATGGAACGATTGAACTTGCGGCTATACCTAGGTTTCGGGCATGCCTTTCTGATCTGTAAAATTCCTACCCAAGGAGGTGCTTTTTTGATCCCCAAACGACGCCCCTAGGGATGTTGTAAAGCTCATTAGAAATGCTGTAGAAAATTCAAATTCTTTAGCCAATTGCGTAAAGACGTGGGTTGGGTAAGTGTAACATCTAAAACGACGAAGCTCATTAAATGTGATATGAGAATTAACTAAAAATACTGTAGTTGAGTTGAGTTAAGGA